GCCCCCCAAGCGCTGCTCAATTAAGCTGGCCACACACACTTTTCGTAACAGTAACCGTAAAACGTAACATAAGAATTGACCAATCCTGTTGAGAATCGTCAAATCGTAAGGTCGCCATTTTTATGAATATCGATCGCAATTGGTCAATTCTTATGTTACGTCTTAAGGCCAAGTCACACTAACGATTGGCGATAGATGATTGACGATTGAAGATTGGAACTTGACCAATTGGAACAAAGCAAGCCAAGGCTGAAGCTTGTTGATTCATTAAAATCTAATCTTTAATTGTCAATCGTCAATCGCCAACCGCTAATGTGATTTGGTCTTTACGGTTACTGTTACGAAAAGTGTGTGTGGCCAGCTTCAGCGGCACGAGTGGGCCGTTACGACGATACGTTTACCTAGCCTTTGTGGAGCCTAGAGTTTTCGTTAGAATCGTTGCCCAATGCTGGGATTCTATAACTCGTTATTGGAGTTAACGACAGTTTCGTTATCGTTGCTCAGCTTTTGTATACCGTAGAAAACGATCAGGTATTATTATCACTACCATTTATTATTCGAATATTATTACTTTTTTTATAATAATTATAATAATATCTACTCGACAATCGTATGATAATAGGTTTGTTCGAGTGCTTGTACTTTTCACACTTTTACACCTAATGCCCGTTGCACACTAGTGCACTCCAAACAACACAAATTTTCAAAAATACATTCTGAAGACGTTTTCAGGACGGAGGGACGTCATCAAAATATTCTTAGGACGTCCTTTGAAAGTGTGAATTGTCTGAAAATAGCTAATATCCAATAAGTTTATTCACATTAATTGAATTTTTTACACTTTTACACTTAGTGCACATTAATTCTTTAGAGGTTCTAAAAATGGCGTCATGTTTTCCATTCGTGTTACGAGTGTAAATGCAATTCTGATACACTTTTCACTCTTGCTTGGGATCAAGTGTAAAAAGTGTAAAATTAAAGTTGCAATTACACGCGTAACACGAACGGAACTCATGACGTCATTTTTAGAACCTCTAAAGAATTAGTGTGCACTAAGTGTAAAAGTGTAAAAAGTTCAATTAATGCAAATAAACTTATTGGATATTAGCTATTTTCAGTCAGCTCACATCTTCAAAGGACGTCCTAAAAATATTCTGATGACATCCCTCCCTCCTAAAAGCATCTTCAGAACGTATTTTGGAAAATATGTATTGTATGAGGTGCACTAGTGTGCAACGGGCATTAGGTGTAAAAGTGTGAATAGTACAAACAACTTGAACAAATCTAATAGCTGCGAGCGGATAATAACTGAATAACGATATCGAATAATTGGCAATAACAATGAATAGCAATAACTGGGCAACGGCAATAATAATTGATTAAAGACGAGGTAAAGAAATTGTCGTAATGGCAAGCCCGAGTTATTTTCCTATGCGTAATAACAATAATTAAATAATAAAATAATTGGCCGAATAGAGCATCACTCGACAGCCATTTTAAAAGTCTCGTCTTGTGATTGGTTGATCGCGCTTTCCAATTGAGCTGTTTACGTTTTGCTCTGTCGACCTAATCTGATTGATTTGATGCTTTGACACCACCCACAAAAACATTTATATACATTTGTGTACATTTGTATAAAATATTTATATTATTTATATACGAATACAACATTTTACTTCGCATCTATCAAACTGATCTCTGCAGAAATAGTGAATTTTCATGAATTCACTGTATGATTTGATGGTTGTACGATGTTTGAAAGTTACAAAGAGTAAATTATTTGGATAAATTCAAGCGACTAATATATTTGAACAGTAAGTATAAATAAACATATAAATTAATGTAGGATTTCTGTGAAAGTATAAACAATTATCATATATATTTTTTTGTTATTGAGATATACATATTTCATTTGAGGTTATGGGAAGAGCTTGTTGTGTCTTGGGATGTGTCTCAGGAGGTGACGTACCTTCTCATCAAATACCCAAGAATCCAGACCTCTTTAGAAAATGGAAGAATGCGATTTATTCTACAAAAATTGAACAATTGACCGACGAACAGCTAAGCAAATGTACTGTGTGCCATCATCACTTTATTAGTGAGGATTATTTAGTAACATATAGAGTGAGAAAATTGAAACGTGGTGTCGTGCCTTCCGTAAATCTGCCATATAGACCAGTTAAGGAAGGAAATATAGAATCAAATGCAAGCATAAACATATCCACGGAAGTAAAAGTAAAAGTAGAAGAAACTATGGAAGAAGAGGCAAGTACATTTGCGGTTGGGTTATTTGAGGATCTTCCAGAAACATTGGATTTGCTTAAGCAATCTTCAATTCCTGAAGAAGCATCTGAGCAATCATGTCAACAACTTGACATGAATATGGAACAAATCAGTTTAATTCCAGATGTATCTAAAGCAATTTTTAAAACCGAAACATCAAAAAGAAAACTAGTAAGGCTAACAGAAGAGCAATGTCAACGTAAAAAACAAGCTGAGAAATATGCAAAAGCACCTACGATACAAAAGCTCTTATCTTTTCTAACAGTTACTGAAAGATCATCTCTTCAAAGAAAGATAAAAAGCTCTAAATACGCACCAAAAGTATATATAAGACTATATCATGATATTGCTAAGAAAAAAGCTCTTAGTCAGTTGTGAAATGTATTTATTTTATGTTATATTGATTTTATGTTCTAAAAAAGAGGCAAAAATTGACTGAGGTACCAAATTATCTAACACTTAAGAAAGAATGTGCTCTAATTGCAAGATACCATTTCCTATATCATATTTTAAGTAAAAATTTTACCCGAAAAAGTATTTTTTTGTTTTATAATGAAAAGGAATAATATTTTACTTAGAATATTCCCTTTTTAGTTTTAAAAAAATCATCTTGCAGCTATAGCATAAGAGTATTCTAATAAGAATGAAATTATATTTTTTTAGATGTAGTCTTCTATATATTTTCGAGAAGACATAATTTAATGTAATCACAATGTATTATAATTGTGATGCAAATTGTAATTTTAATAAAAATTGACACAAAATTCTGTGTAAAATTATAGCAAATTTGTATACCGAGAGAATATAGCTTTACTATAATTACAAAAAAAAGTAAAGATTTCTTTTTACAATGTCTGTAGGATTCTCCTTAGCGAAATACGTTGAGGGTAATAAAAATAATTGCTCGCACAGCGCGTCGATCGATACAACGGTGGTTTTACTGTATTTTTAAAAACGAATACATGAAATATACATTTATAATTTATATAATTAGTAGAAGGGTTAATTTTTTGTTTCTGTGGGGGAATAGAATCTAAACGCTATCTTATCGTTAACGACGTCGCAGAGAGTACAGCATATCCTTTCTGAACACAATCTTCATGGGGGGATTCTGTTGAGCATTTTTACTCATTGGCGACTCTTCTACGCGCAGAGAGAATCTCTATGATAATAAACCGTTGACCGATCTGGGATCTTATTTTCGAAAAATATCGCATACGATATTTCTATGAAAAACTATAGTTCATGTTACATATATTATAGTTTTTTATCGAAATATCGTATATGATATTTTTCAAGAATACGGCTCCTGGTGTAACTATCCGAGAACCGGGTAGTCATTTACTTGTGTGTCCTCCGGATCCCGGGCGAACTAAAAGCGATCTGTTCGTTCATGAGAGGATACAAGTCGGAGGTACAGCGAATACGAACCTTTCTTAGAGGGATGGTGGGCGAGAATTAACGTTGCGATTACAAAGTGTTCTCGTACGTGACACATACACCCAATAGATCGTCTAACGAATTAAAATATAAAAAAAAAAATATTCTCATCTCGAGAATTATTTATACATTTATTAATCTATATACATAGTCTCAATTTATATATATAGAATACTTTAGATGTACTAGGTGGGTTTTTACCTTTTACGTACGTATTTCATTCCTCGCTTATCTCTTCTTCCTCTTCTTGCTCCTCTACGTTCGTTAATTACGAGATGCAATTTAAGACGTGGTCAATTCCGCGATCGTTTCTTCACGATATAGCTGATACTTTGCATCTCCGAAATTAGGATATACTTTCTTTACTCGCGTACTATGAACGAAAACGCAAAATCAGTAGAACATTTTACTGTTTCTTTTTTCAAATTACAACTGAGAAACTATAGTACGACGACGGTAGCGAAGTCGTTTTCAAGAATCCGCAAGAATGAGTCACGCGGGATTTGCGTGCGTAAAAGGTATTCTAAAGGGAAAGTGTGAATACGAACGGAACATCGTGGTTAGTGCCATAGTAATGCGTTCAAGGCCGATATGAGACTATGAAATGATTTTATCTTTCTCTCTTTTAAATATACCTTATTGTACATAAAAATAATGAAAATATACATACAATAATAATTATAAAGATATCTCGAGAACGAAAGCATCCCTTTGGCTCTTATACGCTTCTCTCTTGAAGACAGAATTCGATTCATCGCTAAATTAACAACAAACAAGGATTCCTGAATCGTCTATGTGTCTAAACGCGCCCCTGCAAAACGGGGGATTTGTGCGTCGATATGTGTTATAAACTTCGACAGATATACGCGAACGCATCTTAATGCACGCGCGTTTGGACAAAGGGCGCGTTGTCGATCAGTAACTCAAACGTACGTCGATTCGAACGTGCGTACACAGATCGGCATAATTGTTATGATATATTATAGTTATTACGATTTTCAATTGTATAATGTCGATGGAAGAAAGATAGTAATATATTTTTTTATGAATTTTGCAACGTATTCAATAAGAGAATTTTTTTGTCATTTTCACAAGATATATAATTACACATAATATATAATTTCCATACGATTACACATGAATAAATAATTTTTCCTATTAGATACCGGATGCATTTTGAGGTTCGCTACATACGAATATAATCAGGCATATCAATATATATGGTTGAAAATCGTAGTCACTACGACTCGCATTAATAATCGGCGACACGAACCGATATTAATAACAATCGTGAGACCAATCCTCATCCAAACGCGCGTCTATCCGGACGAAATGTGTGACGCGTACGTTACACATTTATTTTGATAATCGTGTAAATGATTGTCCGTGATTGTCTGTAGTCTGTGAATAATCACACTTCAATATTTTTCTCTTTTTTCTTTAGTTTTCAAGTTTTAAGGTACGCAAAGAGGATGAGAGCGGATCCGCGATGGCGGATCTCGGCTCGATAAATATTCTCTCGGGGCGAGATTTACTTTCTCCAAATGTATCTGAGTCGTATGTTGTACGTGCGTGCGCGTGTGTATGTGTGTGTTGTGTGCTTAACGTTAAGGACACTTAACTTTGTATAATCTTACGTCATTATAGTTAGAATAGTAACCACACGAACAATTTTTTTTTCATTATGTTTTGAGAACTGTAGATATGACGATTCGTGAACCGAGATCGATGTAACTTCGGCGAGTTCGACTCTCGACGCTGTAGATTAGCGGAGAAGGGTAGAAGTGTATGTCGTTAAAAATGGGAAATTTCGTAGTTGTGTAAGTTTCGCGAATTGTCGAAAAACCGCTTTTATATATTTTATATTTCAGAATACGCACTCGGCCATTTAAATGGACACTCACGGTTTAATTCTTTTAGGAAGCAAATTCCGCAAATAATCGCAAAAGTTTTCTCTACCAAATATTCGTCGAAATTTAACTTTCATTACACCCGACATTTCTACCCTTCATAAAAATAATCCTCATGCCCCCTTTTGGCACCTTCATCATCACACACAAATTGCAGCACAAAGGCTTTTCCTTGTGCGTTGCCTTCGGTTACGAAAATCCGTATTTGCCGAAATTTTATAATAAACATCCGGGACATCTAGAGTACACTGCAATGCCTGACTGCTTACTGAATCTAATAAGATAAAAGTACCAAAGTTTGGACACATACCTAGACACGTCCTGGACATTCTTATTATTTTGATCTTTAAATACGAATATGTAATATCTCAACATAGAATATATTTATATAAATTTTATATTAGAAATTTAAATATTCGTATTTAAAGATCAAAACAATAAGAATGCCCAGGATTAGTACGTGTTCGGGAATTGGTACTTTTATCTCAACATTAAAAATCTTCACTCACACAAATGGTGTCCATCTACAATTTGTGTAACGCTGAAACGTAACCTTCTTCTTAACCTACTTTTTTTGTTTTAAATAGCGAGTCGCAGGGCATTATTGATGCTTGATGTATGTCCTTCTTTCCTCTCTACCTTTCTTCTTTGCGCATCGTCGGGAATCTATCCTCGTCGAAATCGTACCGGTTTCAGTCGTTGTGTTCATCGTTAGACAACGTGACGGTCGCGCGAGTGCACACTTAACTAAACACTCTTTTATATACGTACAAATATGGCTGACATGGTTAACAACGACGTACGTGATCTCTTCGCGTGATCGAAGGGAATATTTAGATTTCGTGTCGCCTATTTCTCTTCAAGACTACTGTCTGGATCTGTTCGTTTGTCCGGTTACAACGTGACTTGTAAGTTGAAAAGGTAAAATCACAATCAGAGTATCTGCATATATGTATGCGCGTGTGTATATAAGTGTGTACGTAGAGCAAATCGAAGAAATAATCGAAGGAACTACAAGAAAGTAAATAGAGGTCACGATACAAGCTAAGACTTTTATTGCTAGTCTCTCGCACATTTTTCCTCGCATGATTATGTATTGCTGTTGTTATTGTGATGTAATGATAGCTTAGCATTATACAGGCACGTGTTCTCGTGTCTGTCGCGGAACATACGGACACATTCCGCGTGCTTTGTAAATCTCATACAGCTCTTATATGATCAGAAAATCTCAATTCGCGTTAGAACGCTGTCACTATAGATTCCTTTTCGAATTAGTCTAGTCTGTCTCAACCGGAAATTGCACGATCGGAATTCCTGTAGAGAAAAACGATCTGATCTGTGAGATATGTGTTAAATATATCGATTCTCGTGATGTGTGTGCAATAAGTGAACAGTAGTGAGTGATATGTCGCACCGAAACGTGAATTATTTCTTCGAATATTTACCGAAGTATCAATTACGATAAATAAATTCACAATTAGATCAAGCTCTATACAAAACAAAACATTACATAAATTGACCAGTTCTTGTGTATTCTTGAAGCATTTTTATCGAATCCGACATTACTTTCTCAGCGATAATTTCTTCGATTATGTACTTAATAGCATTAAAACATAATTGATATATAATTTATTTATAACAGAAGAATTGTGTTTGTAGTGTGACACGTGATCGTATATGAGCACGTGTGTGTGTATATGCGCGTGCGCACCTATTGGGTCAGTTAAAAAGTTCCGTAGTTCCGTTCGATAGGTCAAACTTAACTTTGTCGCAGTCAAGACAAGTAAATTATTCGTCGAGTAAACAAACGCTGTTGTTGCTTATGATCCTTCATTCCAATGTTCCAGCGACATTCGTATATTTCTGTTGAAACGTTGCTAGTTTAACGTCGAAGGAGACATTGAGATTTGTATCAAACTTTTTGACAGACCCAGTATATTACATTTGTCGTGTTTTATCACTATCGTAATGATTAGTTGTAATTGCTTTGAAAGCCTGTAGAAGCGTCTGCTGACGATACCAAAATTCACGTGTCCTTGATCAAAGCCAAAATACAAAATGAATATAATTTGGAGGCATATAAATGAACACGGGGGAAATATCAGGCACGAATTATTAAGCAGACTACAAATAGTAACACTCTACCAATTAGAATTTGGTGAAATATATTGCCGAACGGAACTGAGAGTAAACCCGTAAGTTTCAGCATCTCTCTGTTTGTACGTACATATGTGGATTTGTATACGTGTGTATATGTGTATGTGCCGTGTCACTCGCGCTTGATAATACCGTCTGAGTTAAAAAAGCTACCTTAAGACTTAATGATTGTTTAGTGCGACAATTGACAACTTACGGCGCGCTCGACGCGTGTACACCAAAAGCTTGAATAAAGCTTTAAACGCTTAATCAGGTCAAAATTTACTAGTCTCTAATTGTTCGCAATGTATCTGAATGTGTGTATATATATTATGACTCTGCCGGTCACTCGGCTAATTTGCCATTTTGACAGCTTGACGCATATCATATCGTATCGTATTATATATTTAATCCAGAAACGTTGGGAACGATTAGAAAGATCAGTGAGATTTGGTCTCGCATTAAGACTTTATTGAAGCTTAGTGTACGTTGTGTGCGCCCGCCGTTATAGATTATTACATAGACAAATATATGTATATATTATGTATATATATATATGTATATATTGACGAGAAAAATATTTCTTTTGTCCGTACGTGGCTAAGAGAAAGATATTACTTTGTCGTGTGTACATACGTGAGGTGCTTTCGTACAGAGTGTATCAGAAGTCGCACTTTGCTCTTTACAGTTTTTGCACACTCGTCTAAAGTCTCGTCTAAAATGGAAAATCAGGCCGCCCCCGTGCATTTTCCGGGCGTGCATATTCAACGTTACGCGTGAGTCGATTCTCGACTCTTAATCTATTAATTGCTCATCTCGTAGATTAAGTCAAATGCGCACTGTCGACTGCATGAAACAGTAGGAGAAAGATTGCAACACTTTTTTCTTCAATGAGTCTCGCAACACATTCGTGTACTCAATGGGAAGATTTATTTTCCACGCAGAAAAAATCTGGTCGGATTAAGCAAATATCTCTGGTGAAATATGAACGAACCAGAATGTCGGTTGAAATTACGAGAATTCTGTTGAAGTTAATAAAATTTCTGGCTAATCAGAAAACTTCTTGACTTGAACAGAATTCTGGTAACTTCAACCGGCGCGTTCAGATATTTGGTTCAACCAATTAAATTTCTTTTTTTCCGTACAGTAATTCACAAAAGATAAATTTTCCTATAGGACACCGCGAGTGTGTTTTGAAGTTAATCGAATTAATTGCAACCCTTCTCCTACTGACTGTATCGATAACCACGGTAAAAGAAGCGACAGTCGAACTGTCGTAAGTAATTGACACAATTAACTTATTAATCGGTAATTAATTATTATTAATTATCTATCGTTAGTGATGAAATATTGTGTTGTATTACCGATTGAGTCGACATATCGATACGCTTAACAGCGCGCATTCGTCGATGCTCAGAGAATGTTACGTAATTGTAAGATAACGTTCGATTCACGGGTTATTCGCGATATGTACGTTGGCGATTTCTGACACACACCCGATAATTCCTGTAGCACCCCGACGTATGTAGCACGCTCATTACCTCACAAACCGCACCTCTGCGAACCCACACGAGGGCGAAGTGAGGGATAATGTATTTGTGTGTGAAGGAGATATGCGGCGCGAATATTAACTCAGCAACGCGCATAGGCGACGAGAGGGGGATAGTCCCTTCAGACTAATTTACGGCCATCGATTCCCGCGAGCTTGCCTTGCGACCGCGAAGAATATTCCTATTGTATTAGGTCGGATCAAACGGGCGGATAATCCGCGGAGAATTGCATCCTTTTTCTCTTTTTTCCTCTCTCTATCTATTTGTCTCTATGTCAGTATCTAACTCGCAACCCCGAAGCCGAAGACCGAATTGTCGCGGAATTCCGCGTTCATTAGCGATCTCGTAATCGCCAGTTAAAGAATGATCACCCGCTTGTCTCGCTCGCCGGGAATATCCATCCTTGAAAGTCTGCTCCGCTCGTTACTCCCTATTCCTGCACGATTGACCGGACGTACGAGTGGATCGATGCTCGCTAGTCAGCTCCACAACCATCGCGATCTTGTCCGACCTTTGTTCAGTTATTGGCACTTTATTCTTCGGATTGTCTGTTGAAGAACTGGTACTGGAACACCGGGAAAAAAAGAAAGACTTCTCTTTTGTGTTTTGTCATAACGCGATCGAGTGAGCGAGCGAGAGAGAGAGAGAGAGAGAGAGAGAGAGAGAGAGAGAG